ATGTTGATTGGTTGATATGTTGATTGGTTGATATGTTGGTTGATTGGTAAATTGATAGGCTGGTCATTCAGTCAGTGCAATGGACAGTAAATTATTAATTTCATTTAGATTCATGTTCACTTATTCAATCATACAATCGTAAATTATGTTTCCACACTTGTTGTCTAACTAAAAACAAACAAACGAACGAACCAACGAACGAACCAACGAACGAACAAACAAACGAACATACAAACACATTCAATTAAAACAGGAAAATGTCCACACTTGCACACCACAGACAAGCAAACAATATATTTCTCAACAATCTAAATGCTCCATTCTGTGATAACTGAAAGTGGGTAGTGCTCCCTCATACAACTTTAAACACAAACAATCACACACAATCACACACACACATACAATCACCCGTGCACAAATACAATCACACATAACAAGATGACCAACAAGATTGTTCAGTGATGGATTCCAACTTGTCAGGTTTCATTGATTTTGAAGCTGCAAGAGATTTTTTCTGAAATTTTGGTGAGTTGTTTATTCAACAAGTGCTGCATATAAGTAGCATAGACAAACAGTACATCAACTATAACAACATAAACACAAATACCAACACAACCACCAACATACGATGATGCAACATCAACATACAAGGCAGCAATAATTTAATGAAGCATGCAATCGACTTTACAATGAGCCCAAACTCAGAGGACGACAAACACCCCCAACAACAGAACTATTCAAAGAGCAACTTGGCACCTTCTTGCGGAGTTTGTTCAATTTTTTGAGGAACATCTCCTCTTCCTCTGTGTTCTTCATGTTGTTCAGTGAACCAACCATCTGCAAACAATTTTTTGAATAAATAAACAAACAAATTTAACGGAGTTGTAAAATAGGTTGCACGTTACAACATAACACCCTACCTATGCTGATACTATATATAGAATTTGGATTAGTCGCATTTCAAATTTTTCACGTTTTTCTGTAGTTTTACATTGATTTTTTGGTATTATGTTGCTAATTTTGGATTCAACTTATAGACAAAAATTAGGAGATTATTAATATAGTTTTTTTATTTCGATTAAATAATTTAGTTTTATAGTTGATACTTGAGTTCGTTTTATAATTAGTTTTCTGTTGGGCATGTGCGCATACTCCTATTATCAATATTTGTTGTTAGAAGTTCAACATGGCTAACAAGGAGGAATGCATGAAATGTTCAACTGGTAAGAGGAAAGTTGTGAAAGAGAAACAAATTAAATTTTAGCAGTGTGAAATTACTGTTCATACAGTTTGTGTGAATTTACCAGATGAAATTTGTGACATTTTGGAAACAGATAATATTTTACAGTGGTCATGCAATGAGTGCTTGAGCTTAGGGCTGGTTTTGAAGAAATTTACTAATGTCTTCTAGTCCTATAAAAACGAATTGACAGCAAAATTCTACAAACTGAATGGACTAAATTATGAAATAAATTCTGCAATTGAAACCATCAATTCATCAGTGAATGCAAGTGAAAAGTGGTTGAAAAATTTAATCAGCCAGATATTCTACGTGGTGAACTAAACAATCTAAAAACTGAGATTAATATGTTGTTTGCGAGCATCAAGAATCGACAAGTTAAAAAACATCGAGATCATCGGCAGTGAGGTTCAAACTGTTCAAAAAACATTGAATGAGGTTAGCGACTTGAAGGTGAGAGAGAACAATCTAATAATGTTTGACTAGCTGAAGAAAATAAAAGTAACGACAAAGAAGCAGTGATGAAAGTCTTAAAACATCTACCAGATGATAAGTTGAAACAGATATAACAAGACTAAAAAAGCTTGGGGAAAAAAGTGACAGTGTTGCCTGACCATTGCTGATATGCTTCAAAAATATTAAAATTAAAAATACCATCCAATATTGAATAAAGAATTGTCAATAAGGTCAATAAGAAAAAAATACCAACTTTTTTTAAAACAAAGATAAAAATTTACCATGAACCTACCTATTATAACTGCTATATACTACAAAGCATGATAAAATAATAAATTAAATCAACACTACACAAATAACATCACGCCAATTAAAATTAAAGCAAAATCAGACAAAAACAAATAAAATTAAAAGTAAAAAATTAAATTTTTAAAAAATATTGATATTTTTTATTGTTTAAAATTATTACAACAATTATATAATACTATACAATACAGTATATATAATTTTTATTATATTAAATAAAAAATTAAATTTTAATAAAAGTTTTAAATTTAAAATTTAAATAAAATATTTTAAAATGAAAATAATGAAATGACACAAACCGTCTCTGTTATTAACAACTATTTTAAACCTTTAGATCCAATTGTATTTTTAATATTTCAATGTTAATTTTTAAATTAATTTTATTCGCTAACCACAAAAATTCGATTTCGACAATTTATTTAGAGTAGTTACTTTCTGTTTGTAAACAAACGACGTGTTTTAAGTCAGACAGGAAAAAAAGTTATTTTATATTTTATCTTTGCTTTTTAAATGATGTAGAGATGCTTAGTGTTCCGTTCAAAGATTCATGAATATCTAAACATATAACTAGGATAAATGTAATAATTGTAAGTATTATACATGGCTAAAATAACGTTTAAATATTTATAAATATTTAGTTTGAATACGAAGTTTTTATTTTATGAAGTTTAAATTATAAGAGTAAAGCGCTTGACTTGAACATTGACCCAGTGTATGAATTTTACGAGATGTTAGCATTAATCAATTTCTTTTCAATTAAAAAATCAAACTTTAAATTGATTAATGCCAACAATTCGGTAGAATTCATACAATACTGTATAAAATACGGTCTCCTTCCAACATATATATATATATATACATATATTATATTTAACTAATGCCGAACATGCTGTAAATTTCATCAATTGCATTTCTGACAGTCTTAATCCAATATATACATGTATATATATATATATATATATATATATATATATATATATATATATATATTGGTACGAGGTTCTCAGCGATACAAACTTCATTAAATATTTTTGCTCATTTTGCGTTGATTAGTTTTTTACCAATATTTTCAACATTTCGTACTTGGGTTAAATCATATTTATTATTTTTATAAAGTTTATATATATATATTATATTATATATGAGTTATCGACCGTTTACGACATATATATACACACAAGTCTTCTCGTGTTTGCCGATGGTTTTCTTGGCAAAAATTGTGAACAGTAGCCTGCCATTACCTGCGGTCAACTTTTTCTACTACATTTTTATCAGTAAAAGCAAACCCACTCCGATCTGCTACATAATCATTAATGGTAAAAAGGTGAAACAAGTCAAAAGCTTCAATAATCTCGGAAGTCTGATTACCTCAGGCTTTAAATGTTATGTGGATATCAAACGAAAAATAGCTATGGCGAAAGATGCATATTTTAAAATATAAAACATTCCCACCAACAGTAAAATCAGAATATCAACAAAATTAAAACTGTTAGTGTTACAATTTTCCTGTGCTTACTTACGACTCAGAGTCTTTTTTCCATTTCTAAAGAAATGGAAAAAAGACTAATGCTGCAGGTACGCTTACGACGAACTGGGACTTCTTTAGAACTATAATTTTTGTTAACCAACAGAAATGTAGCCAGAGAACGCCTTGGACCTACAGAGCAGCCGTAAAAAGATTTACTTTTTGAGTGTATGATGCTACACTGAACTTTGAGAGTTACAGCTTTTTTCATACAGTAAATAGATTAACTTTTAAAGTTTTATTTATTTGCTATATTTTAATTTCATCTATTCATGTAACCATTTTGCTTTCAACATTACATTAAACATTACTAGACCTGCGCTCACTTACGACTCTGAGGTCCTGGACAATTTTTAGAGAAATGGAAAAAAGGATAAATGCTGCTGAGGTTGTTTTTTGAGAAGAATTATGAAAATTAGTTGGACCTCTCATACCTCCAATGAGGGTGTATTAAAACAGTCCGGTTATGAAAAGAGGAAATTGCTACAAATAATCCAACGGGGGCAGTTAAAGTTTTTCAGTCACATCATGCGGAAGGAATGGAAAATCTAGCACTACTCGAAAGATTACAGAGAGAAGAGATCGCAGTCAACAACGAATAACATTCGTGAAGTCTTTGTGTCACTTGTTAAATTGTTGATTGGTTACCGGCACAGGAAAAAATAGATCATTTTTTTTGTAAGTAATTATTCATCGCGAAATAAAGCGGATACAATATGAAATAAAATGACGGCAACAACAATTCTTCAATATTCTATAAAACTGAAGATACATATCCAAAATAAATTTAAAAGTTTAAGTATGCATATATGTATATATATAGGTATATATATATATATATATATATATATATATATATATATATATATATATATATGTGTGTGTGTGTGTGTGTGTGTGTGTGTGTGTTGGTAATAGACCATATATTTTACAATATTAATTATATATATATATATATATATATATATATATATATATATATATATATATATATATATATAGTAGGTATATTATAATTAACAAATAATTAAAGCAAAATCTTAATAGGAAAAATTTCATTTGTTGACAGATCTTAGGTGCAGATAGATGCACAAAGTACAATTTCAATTAAAGGTTTAATTATTAGATTATTAGTTCCGAAGCAATGTTTTTTTTACAATAATTACCGTACGACATTCGTCAAATGTGAGGAAATTAAACAATCTAACGATATGAAGCGTAAAAATTCGATCGCAAATATAATACAAATATAAAAAAAACACAAGTAGATTAACCAATAGAAGAAAAATAAATTATTGAATCTGTAATGTAACATTGTTAAGTAAACAAACAGTGCTGTGTTGCTGCTGCCCTACTGTCTGCCAGGTCAGTGTCAGCGAGAAAAGGAAGAGTAAGAAGATGGAGGAGAGGAAGAAGGGACAGCATGGCAGAGATGAACGTGAAGGTCATCAACCACGGACAAGGGCTAGCATGAGTTTCTTGTAATCCCCTGACAAATCACCCTGTTTATGATTTTTATTATTAATGTATACAATTTTTTATAATTAATGTAATGTATTAATATATGTACAGGATATATAACATTAGTATGATGAAGCATTTAACTAGGATGTCTTCAATTAGGTAGAACAACTATCGGTCAGCTGAAATTAAAATAAATTAAAAAATGAGATTTGAAAGCAAATTGTAATAATTTATAAATTTATGATTAAAGATTTTGAAAAAAAATGAATTGTTAAAATTATGTTGGAATAAAACACGAGATATCTTATAAATACAAAATTAAATACATTCAGATTTTATAATTATTAAAATAAAATGGTTCATGTACTTGTCCAAACAAGAACTGCAAACTGACGACCAAGCAAATAAATTGAAGCAACAACATTAACCAAACGTACACTCATTCTACCACCGAGCAGTATATATGAGTGAAACACCGTTTGAACCACGAACACCATAAAATGGAAGATCATTTAGTTTCAACGAGTATCTATTTACAAAGGTTAGAATTGAAATGTCTTAAATATAATATTTCAAATCAAAGTATATTAAAGATAACAACTATAAGGATAGCTTAATTATTCATTAACACATAGTAGTAGTAATTTAATTGAGTGAGTAAATTAACTAATAGCTAGTTGGAGAATAACGTGGATTTAATTAACGTGGTTTTAATATGGTGTATGATGTCAGAATTTGAAACAAAACGATCAGTTCATGCACACTCAGATCACAACCTCGTATCAAAACCTCCACATTTCTGGTCACCAATTCATCTTTTAATAAAATTGATACCATCATCACACATGTCACCTAAGTATGAGTCAATTTGACAACATTCTATTTTTGTCGCAATTCAATAAACTTTCATTTTCCTGTCTGTCATCAAATGCAAAAAGTTCTTCAATAGTAAGCACATCTTCGGACTGTAGTTTCATATTTTTTCAACCATCATATTGCATCTTACATCACTTGGTTCATTCCTCTCCTCGTCTCACAATGCAGCGATCCATATTTATTCATCTTCAAGAAGCATGGCATAGCGGATCAGTCCAAACTTGTCAGCCCCATTCCAATTATTTCAACTCAAATTTATTTCCAATTACATTTTCATCTTTTAAAATCTTTTGCTAAAATTTACATCTCATCCGTAGATCACAATTTTTTGATATTATTTCAAGTTTCCATTAAAATATTATATCTACCATGCAACTTCATTAAAACATTTATTTTCAGCTCATCAAATTAAAAAATTTATCTAAAACAATTGAACTAACTAACCATTATCAAACCAAATTAATTAGGGCTATTTGACTGAACAAAAAATCGACATGAAAATGGCATCGGAGTTAATAAATTTGAGCAGAAAGTGGTGTTAAGGAAACACGAAGCTAGATGAGCGTGTCAGTCCGCTTACTGCTAATTAAAACAAAACGCACAAACGCCGCACACAAGCGTTCAGAGGGAAAGGTCGGTCCTCACTTCAAGCATGCTTTCCAGCGTTTTACCAAATTGACGTTGGAACTCCTGTTTGATCTGTACCATGTCGATCTCGCACCTGGTCACAATGAGGCGCACCAAGGCGTCATCCTTCGTGCCCCAACCCTGCAAGCAACACGACAACATTCTCAAAAGTGATACAAAACAACAACTCACTTCAATCATGCTTTCAAGAGTTTTTCCAAACTGCTTTTGAAACTCTTGCTTAATTTGTACCATGTCGATCTCGCATCTTGTGGCGATGATGCGAACGAGCGTGTCATCTTTCGTGCCGAAGCCCTGTTTAACATGCACTTGCATTCTTTACAATCATATGACAGCTGATGTTGTGTGGTGCATGTTGTGTGGTGCATATTGTGCGGTGCTTGCTGTACGGTGCTTGCTGTGCGGTGCATGTTGTGCGGTGCATGTTGTGTGGCGCATGTGTGGCGCATGTTGTGCGGTGCATGTTCTGTGTTGCATGCTGTGTGGCGCTTTGTTACGCGCTGTTTATTTGCCGGAATTGCATTACGCACCCACCCTGCCCTGCTGCTGCATTCAAAAAGTCATTTCAACAACAAACAAAATAAATATTAAACATATAAAAAAATATATTACACACACACACACACACACACACACACACACACACACATATACATATATATATATATATATATATATATATATATATATATATATATATAAAGTATAAACACTTTTTTAATAAACTGAAAGATTAACACAGCAGCCCACCAACACCCCATCTGTTGATAAACAAACTGTTTCTGGCTTTTTTCAACATGATTTTGTTGAAATGGTACTAAACTAAATAATTCCAAAACAAACAAAGTACAACAAGAACTTGTAAAATAAATGTACACAAGACGATATACAATAACTATCTAACATATTGTGGGACAACTCAAGATAGGTACCTACATACTGATGATTAAATTGTGTGCGTGCACTCACTCACTCACTCACTCACTCACTCACTCACTCACTCACTCACTCACTCACTCACTCACTCACTCATTCTCTGACTCACTCTTTGACTCACTCTCTGCTCTGACTCATTCACTTACTCACTCACTCACTCACTCACTCACTCATTCTCTGACTCACTCTTTGACTCACTCTCTGCTCTGACTCATTCACTCACTCACTCACTCACTCACATATACAAAAAACATGCACTAACAGCTTCAACACAAATGGTATTACCAACAAGCATAGAGAAGTACATATAGAGGTACACACAAAAGTGAACGTAGAAGTAAAAATGATTGAACCTTCATGGAGTTGTATAACTTAGTGGCAAAGAAGCCCTGCAAGTTCTGGACACACCTGACTGTGATGTGATAAATTCATTAGATGATGAGATGGTCATGATGATATACAACAATGATATATGGTGGTCCATGACGATAATATATAATGATGACGTATGATGATATATATGATACATAATCATTTTGCGGTGCAGACGATGGCGATGATACAAGATGATGATGATGAGATGATGACAGTGAGATGGTGATAATATATGATTGCCTTGATGATGTCATGATGATGACGAGATTATATGATGGTGAACGGAAATGGTGATGACGATGATGATGACAATAACCATACATTAAGATGTATCATTATTGTTCATATATTACCAGACTGCTTCTTCGTATTTTGCAGGTTATTTTAACGTACACCGATTGCACCACCAACATCAATTGCATTATAAGGAAAGCGAAAGATAATGACCACCAGTCAGGGCCGGGTGACCCCCAGCCAGGGCCGGGTTACCACCAGCCAGGGCCGGGTGACCAACAGGCAGGACCGGGTGACTCCCAGCCAGGACCGGGTGACCACCAGCCAGGGCCGGGTTTTAAGGTGTGGAGGCCCTGGAGCAACGAGGAAGTAGAGACCCCTAATTATTTTAATGATTTTCCTTCTCACAATTGGCGATCTTTTTACTTATTTCACTTTATTTTCTACGAAACAAGTTTTAAAGTTTTGTTGAAAAGGCAAAAAAAATATGTTGTCACATTATCTTTTTTTTGAAAACCTATTTCTTGAGGAAGCATGGAAGGCCTCTCTTTCTATAATCCGGCCTGCTAACCGCCTCAGCACTGAAACAAAAACCATTTAATAAGACTAACCACAGCAACAACAAAACTAACAACCAAAACTTACTGATGGACACAAAACCCTTTTCGAGATCTCCTGACATTTCATTCTTCACCGACTGCTCCAAACTTTTGTTGGCAATCTTCTGGTACTCACTGATCACCAGACGCAACTGGTCGTAACTTTCTGAGCACAATATCTGATTGAACTTTGATTCGTCTGTGCCCACAATTCGCTCGCCTGCTTGGTACAACTCCTGATTGTAGTGAAGTGCAACAAACGTGTGGAGTGAACGTAGTGGGTGGAGGAAACGTAGTGGGTGGAGGGAATGTGACGTGTGAAATCTACATATAAGAGACATATGTGTAATTTAGCAAGAGTATCTGATAGCATAGCAGGTAAGAACCACAGAACCAACTACCCACCTACACATCAAAACAACAACAACACACAAACAATGCAACAGCAGCATCATTCCCACCTGTGCATCTCTTCTAGCCTTCTCCATATTCACTGGTGCGTTCTCTACTCTGTTTGCCTATCAGCATCATCATTCAACATTTTATTACAGTTTTTATAATTATGTAACCATTACTTTCATGAAAACAATTGAAAAAAGTCTAAACATCAACGTCATTTTACAAAACAAAAATTCAGAGTTGAATTTAAATTGTGCTAAATTTATAAGATACAAATCCAAATGAATGATTGGGTATTATTATTTTTGTCAGTCAGCACATTATTAAGTTGTTTAATATGATTAGAAAAAGGGATGGAACAACAGGAAATTAGCGATCCTCAAGAACATGTTGACGTGATATTAAATCAAAACTCATGAAAAAGCTGATCCTAAACAGTAACAGCATTTGATAACAGCTAATTAAATTTGATTAATGCATGACTTTCAGCAGAGCATTAGATATGCACACGGTTGGAAACCAGAATAAAGACTGATCAACACAATTTAACGAAATTTCACGATCAGCATCATTAAAAGGAAGAAGAGGATGAGAAGAAGAAGTACAAACAGAAACAAGGGAGACACAGAGCCTCTTGAAATGTCCTGATGTCTCATTCATCACGTCTTTCTCCAGGTCACGACCGAACTCTGCAAGAATTAACAAATTTTGACGTTGAAAACTCAAAAAATAATTATTATAGTTAAAAACTGTAACGGGTTGTGATATGCTAACACGTGCTAACGTGATAAACCAAGATAAAACGCGAAATCAAAATATGAACAAACCATGAAACAGTGCGACGAAATCATTCTACACTAACAGCATAGAAAACTTCACAAAAATACCAAAGGGAGGATCACACCAAAATGTGCAACTCAAAAATTATTATTTACCACATACAAATACATCAATGATCCTGAAAGACTAACTGGTCTTGTATGCAGCTCTGATGTCTTGTATCTGCCTGTTGTTTCTGCTGCAGAGGATTTCAATCAATGTGCTCTCGTCTGTACCAGCTCCCTGGTGATGGTGTAACAACGAAACAACACCATACAGAACATTTTTATGATTTATTAGGAGAAGTAACGTAATGCAAATAATGTGCGCAACGCAAGCAGTGTTGAATAATGTAAGTAAATAGGAGGAACCTTCATGGCAGCCCTCAGTTGATCAGCATCATACTCAGCAGGTGTCATCATCAGAGCCAAGATCGCTGATTCAAAATGTCCTCCAAGTTCACTCTTCAAGTCACTAATGAGATCCTACATCAACACATGATATAAATATAAACAATTTGTTAACTTTCAACACACAGTTCATTAAAATTTAATGCATTATCCATTAAAATTATCCAATCAGGATGTAACATTTGAAACTGCATCATAATATTTCAAAACAATGTAAAAGATTACGAACAAAGTTTCTGGCAGGTAACGTATGAAAACAATCATTTATTATCCCATTATACTTATACCACATCACATAAATGCAACAGAATACAGTTCATTTCCTCCATCTAATCCTCTACCCATATCCATCTTCAATTCATCCATTCCATCATCCATTCATCCATCCATAGACTGATTGAACCAACCTTTCCAAACATGGTTTTGAACCTGTTCTTGATCTCCTGCCTCTGGGCGTTGGTCCTAGCAGACAGGACGTCAATGATGGCTTTCTCATCCGTACCTGAAATGTCAAGGAAAATCTCTGTTATATCTTTGGACGCTAATAAAATGAACAGTGGAATCTTAACGTATGTTCAGTTGATTTAACAAATGATAAATATTTTAAAACATTACATGGCGCAGTCTACAGTTCTTTAAGAAATAATTGGCAAAAGTATACTTTTCTGCCTACCTATGTTTGTGAGATAAAGAAAAAGTACGTATAAATAGTAGAAAGAGTATAAATAAATAAAGTGAAAAGTGAAACTAAATTTATGACGAAAATATGCAAATTGAAAATTCTAGGTTTACAAAATTTGCAATGTGTTATGCTGCCATTCAAAAAAGGTTATATTGTGCCTAGTTTTGCACTGCTAATCAACAGCAACTCTAACCATAGCAGTTAGGGTTAGAGTTGCTGTTGGTGAAAGCCAAATACCATAAAGGGAGGAATGTACATTTCAAGAAAGTGTGGCATAATGTTTCAATGTACAATGTGTAGTAATGTATACAGTATAATGGTGCACATATGGGGCAAATATAACATTTGTTAAAATTTAAATAAATTAAAATCAGTAGTAACGAAACGCTAAATTGACGTTTGTTATATAGTTCCATTAGTATTATTTTTATTATTTTCTGCATTGTTTTATAAATATAATTTGTATTAACTCTTACCTTATCCCCTACCTGTTATTCAAAAAAGTGTATCCTCATGCTTACCAATGATAAAAATATTCATCAAGGTATATTTTCATGCCTACACCAGCGTTCAAGATACATAAAAGTGTACTTTCACGCTTACCGCGCATAACCGTTACAGTTGTTACAGCATGAAAATAAGAATCCGTCTTTTTAAAAACATTTCCATTGTAAATCTGCCATTTTATTTCAATTTATTTCATTTTAAGTAAGTATATGAGTATGAGATTAACATTGCAGTCATTATCATTATATCAAAATGCCCGATTTTAAGAATAGTAAAATGTAGGCTTTCCTCCTCTATTTCTTCATGCTGGTGTCAAGAATTAACAGTATTAATATATAAAAAAGGACGCTCAAGACCCTGCCAACTTCCGACCTACTACATTACAACAAATTCCCTACAAAATTTTTTCAGCTATTATCACAGATAGATTATATGGCTTTTAGAATTTAACTAGTACTTCAATAGAAATATTCAAAAAGGATTTCAGCTGTCAACAGATGGGCTTTCAAAGCACTCAGATGTTTTCTCACCTACTAAATGATGCAAATAGGCACAACGTACATGGATATGTTACATAATTATGTATCTTGTATCTTGAACGATGGTGTAGGCACCCTAACCTTGATGAACATTTTTATTATAATAAGCCTTCACTCAGGCCTTCACACATCATCACAATGAAGAACTGGTACTTCAATTAAAAGACAAAGTTCAATAAAGAGTTTTTAGTTTTAACTTTGAATTTTTAAATACTTTTATGTATGGATAAAATAAAATAGACTTGCCATTGATGAGGATAAAAATATTTTTGAAATTGTGTTTAACTACATTGTGTAGCATTAAACAGTTAATTTGATGTGTGTGTGTGTATGTGTTCTGTGAGATGTGGATATCCATTGAACATTTAAACATTTAATATTTTTCAGAACCGACGTAGGTGTTTATTTTCAATTATGTAGGCAAAACTTTATAATCCAACAAGTTTTACATTATTCAATAATTACATTACGATTATCTAATTCTTAGAAGTACATTTGTGAGTCACTGTTGCTTGTTTCTGTTGTTTATGAACTTATTGTTTAATATTTTATTATTTATGTATTCATTTGTTTGTTTAACAATTACAGTAGATACTTACTGCGTAGGCATATTAATCTGTCATTCATTAATAAATTAAAAATTTTAATGCAGCATTAGCCATTAACTAAATTTTTCAATTAAGCCTATTGCATTTGTCCCAATAGTTAATATTATTAGTCCCAGTCTATTTTAAATGTTTACAATTTGGGTTCAATCAAATGACTTAAGAGATAACATCACTAAAACACATTTCATTTTATTTGGACCTATGATCCATGGTGGTATTTTAGATGCTAAAGTTATATTAAATAGCAATTGCATTACCAGAGTTAATTCAATTAAATTTCTTGAAATTATTATTTCTAGTAACTTCTGGAGCATATACAAAATGTTTCGAAAAAAATTAACGTCTATTTTACTTCTAATTTATGGTTTTACGGACAAGTTTCCAATTTTATTTTGAATACCTCATAAAATTCTATTGTCATGTCATTCTTAACTTGTTTTGTTTCAGTTTGGAACTTCAGCACAAAATCTAATATTCAATATTCATATTTTAAATTTACGCCAAAACTCTTTTATAGAAATTTTATTAAATGTATCTAAATTTCATCATATAAGCCAGTTAAAATTTATATAATACCTTAAAGGTTAACCAATTGCATATTTTATTCCCATTGTACTCTCCCTAGTAATGTATTAAACTGAATTTCTGGATTGAATTGAATGAACAACAACCATTCGATGGATTTTAGCAACCAAGTGACAATATAGCTTCAACATTTGTAGGAAAGGAAGGAAAGGCAATCAAAGATGAGACAACTTTGCGAGATAGAATGACTTGAAAAAATAATAATATCGTGAAGAAAGTAATGTGGAATATTCTTTTTGTGCATTTCTTTTTTCATTTGCATTCCTCAAAAAAGATGCTGTGTTTTATCACATGGCTTTTAACATTTCCTGTACAACAAGGTATCTTTGAGTTCCAAATTCGGAGAGACCTAATCTGCCAAAATGTGACTTTGGGAACCTTAATTGATGATCTTAATTCAAAAGTTGGCATTTGCTGAATGAGATGGCACCTTTGAGAGACAACCTCTGATTATGTCAGAAGTGTCCTGTGTGTAACACACGTAGAATGGATGGTGGCAATGGATCTGACAAAAAAAGATTCAAGCTAGAAATAGCACATTAGTAAGGAGAAAACTGACTCTTTTTGAAGCCAATCTCAATCATTAATTTCATCGACCAATCAAAACCAATTAACGAACATCAACCAACTAACCAAATCCTTTCATGGCCTTCCTTAAAACTTTTGCATCTTCTTCTGCATTGAAATTCGAAGCAGGTCTAACTGTTCCCTGTGTAAAAATCAATCAACAAATCAATCAATCAACCAACCAATCGATCAACCAATCAATCAATTAACAACAACAACACACGTTTAGACGGCATTTTCCCCGAGATCGGGGGTTGCCGTTTGGCTACCTATGATGAAACCGAAATACCCCTCGACGCCATCCACATCTGTCACTCGCCTCAGTATCACGCAACCCCGCTTTTACCCTGTCCTTCTCCACCTGCTCTCTCCATCCCAATCGCGGACGACCCCTTCCTACCACTCCTTCAACCTCGAACTCCAACGATCGCCTAATCCCGACCCTTTCATCCCTTCTCAACACATGTCCATACCACCGCAATCTCGATCTCCTTATCAATGTCACAATGTCCTCATTCAGTCCCATCATTGACATCAGCCAATCAACCAATCAATCAATTAGCTGGTAAAATTATTCAATCAACAAACCTATCAATTAGGTATTCAACCAAACTGTTTCAAAAATAGTTCATAAGATAACTAAAAGATAGTTCATAAGATATCCATGAAGTGTGAAGTGTTATTTTTCTACAATACCAAGCCATTCTACCTGACATTACATATGGTCCCATTTGTAGAGAGCAAGTTTACAACAGTGAAAGTAACAATATAAACCATGCAATGCTATGCAAGTGCATCTTCAACATGGGTGCTTATTCTTTACATAATGAAACTCCTCTCCTTATTAAATGACAACACTTTCTACACAATATGTTTATGAATGTGCGTACAATATATATATATATATATATATATATATATATATATATATATAATAATATATATATACATATACTTTGCTTTATATCATATGTACATCAGCCAATAACATGATGTAAACCACATACAACATTAAATAATATACAGATTAATGATAAATAATAAAAGTATTATTATTTTGAAAATTATAGCAAATATGAACTACATAGATGACAAAAAACTAAAAATTTATAATTAATATATAAGAAACAATGAAAAATATTTCCAGATGCTTAGAATGTTAGAAAGCTTTTTCTGCTGATTAATTTTTTTTCAAATTCTTTGCCTGCACGCCAGCAGATTAATGCATACTTCTGCATGGATGAAAGCCAACACCCCCATTACAACACTTACATTACAACAACATCTATATTACAACACCTGCATTACAACATCCAGATTACAGCATCCACATTACAATACCACATTATAAAACCTACATTATAACACATCCAAACTCATGAATTAAAAGAAATCAGAAACATCAACAACAAAACATCCTCTACACACTTTGACAACAAAACGACAACAACAACACAGACCAAACAACGAAAGCAAGATACGAAAAGTAACCTGAGTCTGAGGTGTCATGCCAGCGTGCATGGCGGGTACGTTGGTGTGGTAGTTTGGTCCTGTGGGTAGTGCCCCAGTCTGTTGGTACGACATGCTCTGATCATACCCACCATGCTGTTTTGTCGTTATGTTGATGTTTCTTCATTGAATTCAAACTAGCCATCAATATCATTGCCATCTAATCATAATAGCATAACATAATAATAATAACCAAAGTTATGAATGTTTGTTCAAGAGATTCACTTTCTTGGAACCAACTTCAATTAGAAATTTGCATGCAGAAAAAAAATTTGTCCATGGTTTCAAATAATAACTAGAAATCCAATGATTTAAAAAAGGATAAAGGATTAGCTTCTATTCATTCATTCAATCAATCATTCAATCAATCCATCTATCATAATTTCAACCCTAACCAAACCAAACTAACCAATCAAACTAACTAATCAAACTAACTAATCAAACAATCAACAATCAATCAATCAATCAATCATTCAATCAATCAATCAGCAAACCTGGGGAGGAAAACCTCCAGGCTGTTGAGGAGGGTAGTAGCCAGGTTGTTGTCCTGGTTGAGGGGGGTAGCCTCCAAAACCTCCTGGTTGTTGAGGGGGGTATCCACCAGGTGCAGGGGGGTAGTTGGGAGGGTAGTACCCGGGCTGAGGTGGGTAACCTGGCTGTTGCTGGGTGAAAATGTTGGGTTAGTTTATATTATTTTATTTGTTATTTATAAATATTTTTTATAGAATTTATATTGATTGAAATATTAATCCTAATCTATTCAACTAAATTTATTTAAGCACCAGCTACTTGTGGCATACATTAATATAGAAAATAGTATGAATAAGCTAATAACAAATCACAATATTCTGTTTCCACTTATTAGGATTTAGTGTAAGCCAAAATAGTAGCATACATTGCCATGCAGCTATATAAAGTTATAAGCCATCCATTGGTTTTATACAGAAGATTAAGCAGGTTTAATAAAGTTAATATAGTTTGAATGGGACTGTATTGTGTAACAAATTAATACTATTTAAATAATATTAATGATAAGATATGTCGTGTATCACATAATCATCATCATCATAAGCAACAAAAAACAACATCCACAACATCATCATCACCATAATCATCATCATCATCATAATCTTCTTCATCATCATCCAGTTGTAACTCGTACACCATAAATTCAACAAACTTGAAAACCAGGCTGAGGCTGAAAACCAGGCTGGGAATGAATAAATTTAAGAAAAAAATGAATGATTGAATGAATTTAAGTAGAAAGAATGAATGGATGAATAGATGGATGGATGAATGAACGAACCAACGAACGAATTGATGAAACAACAAAACAAATAAATATGAATACAAAAAATTATATATGTCTCGGTCAATGATTTTAAAAATGATTACAGTAACTAACTGACAAATAAATAAACACACACACACGCTCACACACGCACGCACACGCTCACATACACACAGTTATTAATCTGTCAAGAATGAATACATTACAAAATGTACAGTTGAACTATGATAATAAATTGAAGAACTAAATTTATATACATGGCATACACACATAACACACGTTGTAATTAGCTGGTACAATCATTCAACACACATACATGAAGCTAGAATTATTAAACCACATGATTTCTTAAACCACATTGTTTCCTAATTAATGTGCATATTAATAATTGAATTTCAACATAAAAATCTCATCTAACTGAGTTATAATAAAATCTATAAACACAATAATTAATACACATTTTAATACTAGTTAAATATCTATCAAAAATATTTTGCATCACATGTATTGCATCAATTAATTAACTAATTAATTAACTATTTAATTAAATAGAAAGTACAGATGTTTTATTGTTAAGTATTAAACATATCATATTGTACTGCATTACATGAAGTTGCACTGCAGAGCTGATGTTCAACAGTGAATTGCAACAAACAAACAAACAAACAAATATCTCAAGTGGATAAAGTTGTTGACTTGAGACCTCATCACATGAGGATTGTGTCAATCACAAATGATTCATTTTTCAAAATAAAATTAATATTTTTCGCACATGTATTTAAATTTTTAACATTTAATAACTCACCCACTCTGGTTGTTAACATTACCATCACCATCATCATCACCATTATCATTACCATCACCATCACCATCATTGTCATCCCTCAAACATTTCTCAAACAAATACATATTTGTTAACAGCGCTGCAAGCATTTAAAACATTCATTTAAACATAAAACTCATTCAAAAACATAGACCAAACATCCATCATACTCACACATCAAGAGTTAGATGTTCAACTTATAGACTTTAATGTGATTATATGATAGATTGCATGGATGTGAATTGAACATGGATAGGGAGTGAGTGAAGGTGTGCTGCATCAAATATACCACACGAATACACTAAACAACATCCAACTCATAACAAACCATAATACAACAAAGGATGATGATTCACATGAACAGAATAGATTAACTCTTCGTATTCAACTAACTTAACTGACTGACTAATCTTAACTAACTTACTACATCATTAACTAATCTATTAATTAATTATCTTATTTATCTGTCTTTTTAAAACATTACTTTATTTTATTTTCAATACTTTTCATGCTTAAACATTTTTTTCTCCGTTATTTATTTTTCATTATCATTTTATACAACAGCCCTGCCTGTTGTAACAGTTTAAGCGTCTGTCAGATCCTGATTTTTTAAAGAATAATAAATAAAATATTCATGAGGATGTTTACTGAGGTGGGTGGGTGGGTGGGTGGAGTTGTTTGTGAGTTGGTGTGATGCTACATAAGAAATAGGCACCAGAATGAAAGTGAATTAGATATAAGGACAAAATAATGAATAAAAAATTAATACTATGCATGTCAGTATGAATGAATGAATGAATGATTGAATGAACGAACAAATGAATGCAAAATAAAAACAAAATAAGTGATGAATAGACAAGTGAGCCCACAAACAAACCAGTGATGGTAGTGGTTAATCTCTATTATTGCAATACTCAGACACACATGCATTTGTGAATGCGCACGAATCAGCACCCCATCACACCACTTGCATACATAAACAGGGATCTCCCTGCATTCAAACTATAAATAGGACAGATAGAAGATATCAAGATTTGTAGTATCCAAATGAGAGTCTGAATCCAAGGTGAATCCATGATTGCTTCTAATTAATTCATCCAGATTCAGAACAACGCCTTTCAAATTTAAACCCCCTAACAGCATGCAAAACCATGCTTTTTTAGAGAATCACAACACCATCTCATTCATATAAATAAATAAATCATAACAGATTGCCTTATATATATTAATAATAGATTCCTCATTCAACTTGCCCCACGTTCATCAATACAGACACAAAATGATTTTGCTGCATCGATGTCCATTTCATCTTTTGAATGAACAACATTGATGTTGTTCATTCAAAAGATGGTTTGCAATGAGGTGAATGAACACATAAACAAAAATGAATGAATGAATGGACAAACTGATGAAGGAAAAAACATGTACATGAATGAATCAAAAAAGCAATGAAATAATCAAAACAATGAAGAAGCTTGAACAATGTGAACACCATGCATCAACCAGCAAGCACACTGCTCGCTTGATCATCTACACTTGTGCACTAACATTCAATGTACTTTCATTCAAAAAGTGACAGCAAAAAATAATATTAAAATAATAATGAATTAAAAAATTGCCTGAACATTTTAGCTAAGCAGTGTATAACAAATATTTGAAAAGAATGAACAACGCAGCACTTAATGAAAGCACTAAAAGCTATACTCGTTTAAGCAAACATGAAGAAAGTTCATGCTAACATTAAGCCATAAGGAATTCAACTAAATTAATTAAATTACAAAGATTCAGATTTTAATATTAAAAAAACCTGTGGGGGATATCCAAACCCAGGCTGTGGTGGGTATCCAGGTTGTTGAGGTGGGTATCCAGGTTGTTGAGGAGGGTAGCCAGGTTGAGGGGGATAACCACCAGGAGTGCCGTATGGATAACTCATCTTGCTTCAAATCTCTGAGAATAACAAATAATTTATTTCTTTGTGTTACTTAATAAAAATGTTAAATTAAATTAAATGAAGGCAATGTATCCACAAGCAACCACAATTTGACATCATTAAAATTTATATCATGGGCGCACATCCATTTATGAGTTAAACTTCAGCAATCCAACTGCTTGAACATTGATGTAGTAGTCACTGCACAGTTACTTTCTAAACCTAGCTTTCTTATTTTTCAATGACTGATTGAAAACTTTTATTTTCAACAGGACAATTGAAGAAAGACTTTATAAAGTACTGACATGTTCTATTGACTGATCCTAATAAACGTCAACCTCACAAAAATGACCCTGCTACAAACCAAAAATCTGACAATCAAATTTGATCATCATAGGTCAAAAAATTAAAAAAATATTGAAAGACAAGCATCAAAATTATGAAAAATATGAAGGTGTTGGAAGTATTTAAAGTAACAAACTGTAAAAACAAACACGAAAATAAAAATGTGCAGATTTTAAAATAAAACCAATAGAAAAAACATCTTTCCAATATTCACATCAGCACCCTACAGAATGCATTCAGAATCAATTCAAACTCCGCAACCTCATGGCACCTCGTGAAACTCGATCCAAACAGTTGAGGTCATGAACACTCAACCTGCCAGGACCTAAGCTCATCTGCATTACATGGTATGGATATAAATTATAAATATGACCACAGATCTCAGAATCTTCCTTCAACATTTCATTCAAACCTGTTTCAAACAGACCTCTTTCCAGCCTATTGAAGGTTGTTGAAAGTCACTACTTAATGTGATAAATGCCTCACAGTTGAAAGATACATGCATGTATATACATTTGTCTAAAAAAAATTTAATTGTGCTCAAAATTTAATGAAAAATTTAATTTTCCACCATTGTTTTATTGATTTAACAGTGTTTCAATACTTGAGTAATTAAACATTTTTTTAAGTCACTGAATATAAATTAATGTTAAATTTTTACTCTTTGGTTTGAAATTTAAAACAAAAACAAAGAAATATTAACAAGCATGTACTGGTGGTAGAGCCCAGTGATGGGTGGGCTTTCAACTTTACATACACAAGTCAAACATATACCTATGCATATATATTATTATTTGCTCATAATTCTCTTATTTATTTAACTTTATTTTAACCTGTTTATGAGTCATATGTATACAATAAATACTTTGTACATAGACAGACATATTGTACATGTCTCTATATTTATATTAATCTAAACAAAATCCAGCCCTAAGGCTTAGGGCCTTAGCCAATTATAGTTATTAGTTATTTATAAATAAAATACAAATATGAATGAATTACAATTACAAAAGATAACAATAATCCAATTTTTTTATTTGTTATTATTTATTTTAAACAAACCATTAATTTGAACGAAATGAAAATCTTAAAATTTAGAAATAATTTGAGAACATTAAAAGTTGCAATAGAGATTGAAATTCCAAAAATGTTTTCCATGTTTTGTTTTTCAAATTTGTAAAATTTATTTAATGTTTTTGTTAGCAAAAAACAAAGAAAGGAAAATAAATACAGTATAATACATAGTGTTATAAATTACAAACAAAACTCAGTGATTCAGTAGTCAATGTTAAGCTAGCCAAGCAAGACTGAGTGTTCACATTCATTCAGTCTACACCTACTTTCATCAGTATTCAATTCATCCATGTCATGTCAAGTCAATCCAGAAATATTCAAAATAACTAATAAAATGAAGAAATTAATTAAATTAAAATTAAAATTTAAATATCAAATATCATTTCGTTTGTTTGGCTTTGTGCATTGTACTCAACACAATAAAATTATGAATGATCAATTTATTTATAATTTTGTTGCGGTGAGTTAGTTGTACAGAATAGCACAATCAGTACAAGTTCAGAAAATTAATTGAACAAACAGCACAGTACAACAAAACAAGCATCATCCATTCATTGGTCATTGCAACTCAAAAAAATGTATTCAATTCATATCACAAAACTAACACAAATGGCTAACAAAATTTAAAAAATTACATTTGACAATCATATATTCCAAAAAATAAGAAAATGATTATAAAATAAGAAAAAAATTTCTTACAAATTACCTTTCAAACCGCAATAAACAAAAATGGAAGATAAAGGGTATCGAACGAGAACCAAAACGAAAGTTTGTAAACAGGAAGTGCTCTGCTCACACGAATAAATCTTTTTTAAACAAGAAATGGCCTACTTAGAATAAAATTATTTTGAGAATTTTAGTTATACGGAATAAATGTCCTAATTGTTAAATTATTAAGATATTGAATTATACATATGAATTGGATAATAATATACCTGAAATGAAAGCGTTTCCGATTCGGATTTTATCCTTTTGAAGTTTCCAGCATGAATTATAATGAATGGTTGACGTTAATGTCGCTTTCGTTTCCAGTCAAGTTGGCGACCTCGTTTAGTTTTTAACCTTATTTCGTGTTTTCCTGGCTCAGCCGTTTGTTTGAATAAACAAGTGTTACAGCCCGGAAGATACAATTAATATATAGATAACACCACGGCCACCATTCCTTCCTTGGTAAAGTGTTCTTTCTCGTGCCTTACCCATTCAGGACATCGACCTTTACAAAACCCGATCTTTAGCACTTTGTATTAGTTGAAACGTGGTGATATTTAACATGGGACACAAAAACTTCACGAATGTTGTTCGTTGTTGACCGCGATCTCTTCTCCATGCAATTTTTCCGTAGTTGTTAGATTTTCCATTCCTTACTTCCGCTCGATGTGACCAAATAACTTACTTTAACTGCCCCCGTTGGATTATTCGTAGTAACTTCCTCTTTTCATAACCTGACTGTTTTAATACATCTTCCCTAGAGATATAAGAAGTCTAACTAATTTTCATAATTCTTCTCAAAAACTGCTCCTCAGCAGCATTTATCCTTTTTTAAATTCCACTAGAAATTGTCCAGGACTCAGAGCCATAAGTGAGCGCACAGGTCTAGTAAAGTCTAGTAAAGATTAATATAATGCTGAAAGCAAAATGATTACATGAATACAGTAAATTTAAATAAAACAAATAAATAAAACTGTTTAAAGTTAATCTATTATATCATTTACGTTTGAAAAAAGCTGGCACTTTTAAAGCATCATACACTCAATCAAACAGTAAATCTTTTTATGGCTGCTCTGTAGGTCCAAGGCGTTTCCTGGTTACATTTCTGTTAATTTACAAAATTATAGTTCTAAAAATAGTTCTAGCAAATCCGTTTACTTTGTTCCAGCCAGAAAAAGAATGGTGACCTTGGTATAAAAAAACATAAATCTTTTAGTGGTTCGGTCATGGATATATATGGTTCGGTAGATGTTTCTGTGTTAGAACGTCTGCGTTGTAGAAGCTGCAACAATCTTTTTATTTAAATTATTTCAATCTTCATTAGCTTTTAAACTGAAATATTTTCTCTTTATTGCTCCTACCTTTTCTTTAAAAAGTTTGCATTTGTGACCTCTTGTGGAAGAAAAAAAGGTTTTTGGAAAGAAAAAAGGAAAAAATAAAAAGCATGCTTAGATGTTACACCATCGGCCTTCTGTGATTTTGAAGACATTTCTAAAGATATGTAAGCTAACATTACCATTAGCTAAAATACGTTTTCTTCCACTTCATGTACCGAAACAAGTGTTTAAAAGCTGCGTGACCTCAATATCGTTTTATTAATGGGTGACTTCAATTTGCATGTTGAGAAAACTGCTGATCCCCAATCTATTCGTTTAAGAGAAATATTTGATATATTTCAATTAGTAAATCATTTCAACGGTCCTACACATATCCTAGGAGGTATATTGGATTTAGTTGTCAGTTCGCATGACTTTCCAGTAGGTACTTAATGCTAAGATCTATCTTAATGGAATAATTTCGGATCACAGTTTCATAAAAGTAAAAACAATGATTATTCGGCTAGCCCATAAAACAGTGATAAATTCAGTTAGGTCATGGAAAACAGTAGATAAGGAAAAATTCATTGGTACTATTTTAACTTCACCAGTATCTGAACCATGCTGTAGTGATGACGTCGAAAAGGAATTAACAATGTTTAACAACGAGTTAAAGAGTATTGTTGATAGATTAGCGCCTGTTCGAGTAATCTATGATAGAGGTGAGCGTATGGCACTATGGTTTGATCATGATTATAAAAAAGTTAAACAAACATGTAGAAAAATGGAAAGAATCTTCTGAAAATTGTCGACAGATGATCATCGTAATAATTGGATAACTTCCATGAAAGCAAGAAACAAATTATATTCTAACAACGGTTTGGATTATTGGAAAAATATAGTCACTGAAGATGAATTGAAAGATATTATACTCAATCCCCATGTAAGACAAGTTCACAGGATGTCATTCCTACTCACATCTTAAAAAAGTATTTGAAATTTTTCATCAAATTTCTCACCAGCTTTGTTAATTGCTGCCTTCAATCAGGTGAATTTCCCTCCTCTTTCAGGCATGCTGTGGTTCTCCCCGTCTTAAAGAAAACAGCTTGTGATGTAAATGATGTTAATAATTACAGACCGATATCGAATCTTCCATTCACATCAAAAATTATGGAACGTGTTATTCCTAAAAGTTTCTTGAAGTTTTTATCTGAAAATAACCTACTGCCTTGTAACCAATCCGGTTATAGGCAGTTCCATTCTACTGAAACTGCATTGCTACATGTTTTGTCAGGTATGTTTTCAGCAATGGACGTCCAAAACTTATCGTTGTTATCGTTTTTAGACATGTCGGCAGCATTTGATAGTGTGAACCATGATGTTTTGCTGGCAAGACTACGTAACGATTATGGTATTACAGACACAGCCCATAAATGGTTCAGGTCGTATTTGACTAACCGAACACAGCAGGTTTCGTTAAACAATTCAGTGTCTGATGTTGCCTTGGTAAGAACAGGTGTGCTGCCACAAGGCTCAGTTCTGGGACCAATTCTCTTTATTTTGTACACAGCAGATATAATCAAAATAATTTCCTCTCATAGATTCACTTGTCATGCGTTTGCCGACGACATTCAGGTTCTAGTCACTGGTCCTCCAGGTTCGTTTCGTGATGAGGTTGATAGATTTGTCCAGTGTTTGAGAGAGGTTGGATATTGGATGTCATCAAACTCGCTCAAGCTCAATGAATGTAAAACGCAGTTGCTACCGTTGGGTATGTGGCAGCAGTTGATTTTAATTTCAAAACAGTTGATTTCAAAACTTGATTTTAATTCAGTTGAGATGGGAGACTTAAAGATATCATTTTCTGCAGCTGCAT